ACAACAAACCGGCTGATGAAACCAACTATTCTGATGAAAATATCGATGACACGCATGCTGATATGCGCGATCCAGAGAAAGATGCAGACAGTATTGACATTGGTTCTATTGATCAAAAACCCGCTCCCGAGCCTGGGATTGACAACGAAAAACCAGTCAACGGTGCCACAAACATGCCAAGCATACCTGTAGGTCGGAGACCTGGTAGTGAACTAAGACCTATTAATTCAAACTCGTTAAGCGGCTTCCAAAAACCAGGTATACAGAACATTTCTGTAGTGAAAGGAAGTCCACTGCTTGTAAAGAGTCCTATAAAGAGTGCTTCACCAGCTGTCAACATTCCCCACCCATCAATCAACCTCGAGGTCCTCAAAAATAAAATCATGCACAGCACCAATGCAACATTCTTGCGACGCATGCTCACTCTCATCCAAAAGATCACTCATCACAAAGATTATCAGAAGCTCCAGGGTCCCGCAAGGAGCTTTGTTGCGCAAGCGAATACAGCTGTCCAAGCCCTTAACAAAGCCTACAACGAGCGGGTCTCGACTACACCTGTTGGCTTTGTAGAGACAAGTAACCCTCTTTACGAAAGTGCGCTGAGAAAGAAGTCTACAGTCCAAACGGGGCTAAATGCGGCGGGTTACAATAACAGATTGCCTGGTGCTACCAACCAGTTTTACGGAAATGATTTTGCGCTGGGAAAAAAGTCCGCTGTTCAAGCACTTAACAGCGGGTTCAACAACGGAGTTGCGATGTCAACGGCCCCTCAGAGAGCTGATAACCAGTTTTACGGAAATGGCTATTCGTTAGTCAAAAAGTTTCAAATTGAAAGAAATCCATATTACCAGAACTATTATCAATACAGACAACCATACTACAGAAACATTTTAAGCATGCGATATGGTTTGTACAACGGCAATACACCATGATATCCTAGTCACCTTCCTCTCGGTTCAATGAACGGTATACCTAGAGTACACCTAGAGTAAAGAGACTTACTTTTCCCAGAGGCAGGGAAAAGTTTTAAAAACCACTTTGTAAAGGCAAATTCTAACACATTTTAATTTGCTAATCTCATGTGAATAACTGTTCAGGAACATCAGTTTTGACATGACGTTAGGCCGGTCTGCCATATTGGAGTCCGAGAACAAATAAAACGGCGGCCATATTGGTTTCCCAAACCAACCCTGTGGGAGTTGGACCATTTTCTTACGTAAAAAAACTTTCTTCTGTTCGGCCGGTAAATCTACATAGGTGGCGGTCACGTGAACGTAAACCCTCTATAGCGTTAGATTACAGCTGCGTCATCCATTATTCTAATAGTACTAATTTTATTAAGTTGTATGACACTTTATCCTTTTTACAAAGACATTTTTTTTTCACATTGGGATTCGACGAATCTATGTTTTAAGCTATGTTCACACTAGCTTTTGCTACGCCTTGAAAACCATACCGGATAGGGCCTTTGTTCACACATAAGAACGGTGATTTCGGCGCTATTTCTGTTACGAAGCGAGGCTTCTCCGCGCCGATCTCAAAAGTGAAGTGACGTTACATATCAGATAGGTTCTGTGGCACACTTTGGTGCAGCAGTGTGAACAGGGATGTTCGACTTGTTCCCAGCATGCAGTGGTGTGCCATTGCGCGCTGTTCATACTAAACTGGTTCGCTTTTCGTATCGGCACAAAAAGCAATCCGCATGAACATAGCCTTAGTTCACCATACAGCTACTGCTTTGAAATTATATAATCCGAGATAACAATAATAAAAACGTCCGTATTACCGTAGTACTGCTATGAATTATTGTTTAAGGATCAATTCTTAAAGATTTCAAAGTTATTCAGTGATAGTTGCAGTAAGTTACCGGTAGGTGCCTTCTGATTGTTATGCCCGAACATGAGTACAACTCTCATTACCTATAATACAAAATAGCAACAACAACAACTACAACAAATTTATTTATTGTACGCAAAGTAGAATACTATAGTTATTTTACAAGTTTTGAATTAATCAATTAACTGAAAGGGGTACTGACTTCCTGAAATAACTAATAAGTTAAAAATGCCAAGAAGCCAGATTCAGTAAGATAATTGAAATAAGTTTATTGTGCGGAGTACAATATGGCAGCATATCAGACTGTATACACACAAACACACACGCATACACATTTACAGTTATACGATTTTCTGACATATTAACACAGAAATGGCAATTAGACAGACTTACACGACAGAAAAGTAAGTAAAATGTTGAAAATTACGTAGAATGTCGCACGAAGAAAAATCGTGGCCATCTTGTTTCACCACTGCTGACCCAACAGCAACAAAAAAACCCTAACAGTCAAACTAAATCGGACCAAAAAAGGGTCATAAAAATGAAGTAGATAAGATAAAATAAAATAATTTCTCCAAGTTTGTAGAACTTTGAACATCCCCATTTCGCCCCACCCCCCACCCTCGCCTCTACTTCAAGATCAAAGAATAATCAGCCTGTTCCAGGCTACAAGATAGCGCACGGGGAAAGCGGATCGAGAAAAACTGCACGAAAAGTGCGTGGGGGTGAGGAGAGATGAAGTAGTGGAGCCTATAAGCATTGTTTTTAATACCTCATTCCGGTATACTAGCTGCTGGTATACTCTACGATTGGTCAATTGTGACGGCCTCCTACACCGCAACTTTCGACTCTTTGACTTTTTGACACGAAAAACGGTTGTTTAGGAAGTGGGCGGATTAAGTATATGAAAAGATGCCTACAGACTCTCCCCTTCTCTCTTCCCGCCGTTTTCGCCCGTTCGCTATTTTACTGCTCGCTCGCTTGTTTCGCTCGTCCGCACTGACAGAGAGTCTGCTGGCATTGGCCAGGACTAAATATCATCAAGGAATTTTTGGTTATGTTTTTCCAGAACTTCGAAATCCAAGCCTTCTTTTAACGGCACCAAAGGAATAAAACTTATATCCCTACAAAATGTAGATAGGTAGACATTTTATTTGACGAGAAAGTCTCATACTCATAACAGGCCACTTTTGAAAATTAAAAAAAAAAACTTATAATTATTATACTGCCTCCTCCACAGGTTTTCTCAAGGATTAGCGGAAAACCAGGGAATTTTCGATACGAAAGCGAGGTGCTGTAGACGAGCGACGAGGGCTAGTAAGAGATAACACGGACGAGCGCAGAGCGCGAACAGGGAGCCCATCGCATCGCCCTTGTTTTAATATGACTCAAATATTCTCTAAACAAGCGGTCGCGAGTGACTGAGGACGAGGCAGCTTAGCATAAATCTTAGCTTGGGAGACCTCCGTAAATCTGGCCCAAGGAGGGTGGGTTAGGGGCAAGGAAAGTTCCCTGTTCGCTCGAGGTTTAATTAACATCCGGCGACATTATCATCTTCACTACTTTACGAGCCCCACATTAGTTCAGCCAGAACTCCTTGTATTACAAAACCTTACCTTGACACTTTGGTTAAACTCACTGTGGATCAGCATGTTTTCTTTTCAGTTTTTTATCTTTCTGTTTTAAGAGTATTACCCTAACAAAATTAATATACTCTTCGTAGTTTGACTGGTGCATCATAAATAGTAAAACTGTTGTCGTGATACTGGTTGATACTGGATTCCCCATATTCATGATGGTAAATAACCACCCGTCTCGTTGTTTTTTCACAGTTCCTATCGTTGTTGTTAGCATCGAGAAAAGCCTTGACCTTACGGGACCTTACGGGACCTTACGGGAACTAACGGGACCTTACAGGACCATCAGGGTTTTCAATGCGGATATCAGTCAATAATTGTGGCTCAGTCTCTCCAAACGGATAATCTCCGGCTTATAACGTGTTCCAAAACGTCATGTTCATTTTTGGTCTGTGCGCGGTGCTTTTGAATTCGTCAATACTCGGTACCAGCTTAAATTGATAGCAGCCAAAATCTCGGCCAATCAAACGAAGGGATTTTCGTGTTATGTGTTAAAATTATGACAATATTGATTTCCTCTTTACACATCCAATTGGTTTTCGTTAAAATTCTTATAACGTAATTCCAAACTAATCGGTGAGATATACCTCCAGCAACGCAACAACTAAATTTGGCGAATTATTTTATGGGTTTTTCATTCAAGTACAGCGTTTTAAATTTTGAAGCTTTCCTTTAGTGCCTAGCCAAGCAAAAGTCTAACGGTCTCGCTTCAGAAGATGCATCCCTTCACATTTGCCTGGGTATTGTTTGCATTTTACGCGGGTCTCACCTCAGGAAAACCAACTAAACACAAACTTGTTTCAAAAAACGTCGACAAAAGATGGGACCTCCTAGTCAATGATGACCGTAAGTCAATCTGTAATTTAATGTCAGCTCTTTGTCGTAACGTCTTAAACCAAATTTTGAACATTAAAATTAGTAACTGTGATGGCAAGAGGTATCAAAACCTCGGCCAAGCACCTACGCGAGAGTTACTAGTTTTTAGTCCGGTTTCTGACACCTGTTCACCTTTCCTTTGTGTTGTTATCAGTGGGTGGTGTTGTTCTTTATTTATCTTTTAAATGTTAACATTGTTTGATTTGAAATGAAACATAAAATGAATGGCCTAACGGAAATTGAACGACCAATTGTAAAAATTTCAAGAGGGAGCAACAGTTATATGTAATCTTACCCCGGCATGGGTTAATCGTATTCTACGCGTATCAAAGAATCTCAACTCCCTCGCGGTACCTCAAAAGATTAATTGCAGGTTCTTCAAGTTCGTTCTAACTTCCAAACGAAAAAAGGGTGGGGCAATTTGTGCATTACATAGTAAGAACATGGTCTGTCATATCAGACTATATGGAGTCTAGCTATAGGTTATGTTTTGTTTACGTCTAACCATCGATAGTTTCATTTTAAGCGAAGTTGTCATAGTCAGGTGTATTAAGTACAAATCTATTTTAAAGAGAGGTTTATCGCTGGCTACACAAAAACTGTATTGGAATAAACAACGACAATCGCACAAGCATTGTATTATAATTAAACCAGCGTACAAGAAGATGGAGTGGGGAGGGGGTGGGGGGAGTACAAATGCCATGCGTCTTGTGTCGCAGAGCACGAGTCCTCATAGTGCAGCCCAACTAATTGAGCCTGAGGGTCAGAACTGAGCAGATGAAATGTTTAACGAGTTTATATTGTTCTCGGTAGGTTAAATTTTATTGTATTTTTATTCATATTCATTATTATTGTAAATCTCTATACGTAAAAACAGAGAAACATAAATTGAATTGAAACCATGGATGAGATTGCAACCGATAAGAACATATTATGGTCACCTCTATTGGACCGAATCGAAAAATAAAAACTTTAAACACTTGCTTGAATGTTTAACTTAACCGACGGTTTTTGCATGAGGTGCTCAAACCTAAGTCACAGTTAGATTACCTGAAATTTCTCAGTTCTTGATCAGTATTTCTCAGCTATCTGTGATATATCTATAACTTAGCTATCAGCTACAAAACCTTTCATTTGAGGTTCGTATTCTCTACAGATCCAATGGTTTAAAATGGTTTAAAATACCTTTCATCCCTAGATAGAAGCTTCTATTTCTACTGCTACTTGCACCTACTATTCAGTGTTACAATGAAACCAGTCATTAAAAAAATATATATTCTGAATTATCCTCTGAATTCTTGCAGAGTTAAGGCAGTAACTTGACTGAAACATCGGCCCATGCAAGGGAATCCAAGACAGTCTTTTTTTTATGTAATGTTTTTACCTAAGGAGCACTTAAGAACTTGTTGAAACGTGTCTCAGCGCTCCAGATCGAACTGGAATTTGGAAGTGTTGGTTTTTAAGGAGAGGGAATTTCGAACCCGGGTCACATTGGCGGAATGCGAGTGCTCTCACCACTACCCCACCCTTGCCCCACGCCTTGGATTCCAGTTTTTGTCAGTGGAACTTGAATTCTGGATTCCAATCGTTATAATTAGTGGGATTCCGAAAACCTTGGGCTGTATTCCTGGATGCCAAAGCTCAGGATTGTGGATTCCACAAGCAAAATTTTCCCGGATTCCGGTTTCCTCAACAATGCTCAAGTAAAAATTTATTGGAATCCGAAATCCGGATCTCCTTACATAGAAGGGAGGTGGAGAGGGGGAGAAACTGAAACAAAACTGAGATTTTTCAAAGAGAGATTTCATTTTATAGAAGATTCCCCTTGTCCGTGTGATTGTAAATAAAAAAAGCATGTTTTTTTTTTTAACAGGGAGAAAGATATGTATCTGACCCCACCATGCCTTTTTTATTTTCCTGTTTAGGCCCTGTACCGATATACACACGTCCTGCACAACATCCTGCCATTCAAAGCGCATTTACAAGAGACCAAGCAGCCAGACCGAGTTTAAACGCCGATTATGAACGCAAATCTCAAAATCTTGCTCTGTCGTTCGAGAAAAACCCTCAGTTAACTACATCCAAGTCTGCCCTCCAGAAGCAGCAGAATACGTTCGAGACAGAGAGCCCGCAATCGGAGACTGTGAGTGCGGCGTTCAACAATGATGATCAATACACGCGGCTAGCGTCAGGCTATGACCAATACAAAGCTCAACCAAAGCATGATTTACTTCAGACATTTTACCCCGGCACTCTTCAAGATCGCTCCAAAACACGCTTCACCGTAGCTGTTGGACAACCTCTTTATAAGACACCGACATTTTCCAAAGCTCCAGCACTAAATGGTGAACAAGACATGCCAAACAAGGGTTCTTTACTAAAAACAGCAATGAAGAACTTCGGTTACTCTGCCTTGAAGAGGCCTGTCATGGCGAACGCGTTCAATAGCGCTCAAGTTAAACCTAAGATAGACAACAAACCGGCTGATGAAACCAACTATTCTGATGAAAATATCGATGACACGCATGCTGATATGCGCGATCCAGAGAAAGATGCAGACAGTATTGACATTGGTTCTATTGATCAAAAACCCGCTCCCGAGTCTGGGATTGACAACGAAAAACCAGTCAACGGTGCCACAAACATGCCAAGCATGCCTGTAGGTCGGAGACCTGGTAGTGAACTAAGACCTATTAATTCAAACTCGTTAAGCGGCTTCCAAAAACCAGGTATAAAGAACATTTCTGTAGTGAAAGGAAGTCCACTGCTTGTAAAGAGTCCTATAAAGAGTGCTTCACCAGCTGTCAACATTCCCCACCCATCAATCAACCTCGAGGTCCTCAAAAATAAAATCATGCACAGCACCAATGCAACATTCTTGCGACGCATGCTCACTCTCATCCAAAAGATCACTCATCACAAAGATTATCAGAAGCTCCAGGGTCCCGCAAGGAGCTTTGTTGCGCAAGCGAATACAGCTGTCCAAGCCCTTAACAAAGCCTACAACGAGCGGGTCTCGACTACACCTGTTGGCTTTGTAGAGACAAGTAACCCTCTTTACGAAAGTGCGCTGAGAAAGAAGTCTACAGTCCAAACGGGGCTAAATGCGGCGGGTTACAATAACAGATTGCCTGGTGCTACCAACCAGTTTTACGGAAATGATTTTGCGCTGGGAAAAAAGTCCGCTGTTCAAGCACTTAACAGCGGGTTCAACAACGGAGTTGCGATGTCAACGGCCCCTCAGAGAGCTGATAACCAGTTTTACGGAAATGGCTATTCGTTAGTCAAAAAGTTTCAAATTGAAAGAAATCCATATTACCAGAACTATTATCAATACAGACAACCATACTACAGAAACATTTTAAGCATGCGATATGGTTTGTACAACGGCAATACACCATGATATCCTAGTCACCTTCCTCTCGGTTCAATGAACGGTATACCTAGAGTACACCTAGAGTAAAGAGACTTACTTTTCCCAGAGGCAGGGAAAAGTTTTAAAAACCACTTTGTAAAGGCAAATTCTAACACATTTTAATTTGCTAATCTCATGCGAATAACTGTTCAGGAACATCAGTTTTGACATGACGTTAGGCCGGTCTGCCATATTGGAGTCCGAGAACAAATAAAACGGCGGCCATATTGGTTTCCCAAACCAGCCCTGTGGGAGTTGGACCATTTTCTTACGTAAAAAAACTTTCTTCTGTTCGGCCGGTAAATCTACATAGGTGGCGGTCACGTGAACGTAAACCCTCTATAGCGTTAGATTACAGCTGCGTCATCCATTATTCTAATAGTACTAATTTTATTAAGTTGTATGACACTTTATCCTTTTTACAAAGACATTTTTTTTTCACATTGGGATTCGACGAATCTATGTTTTAAGCTATGTTCACACTAGCTTTTGCTACGCCTTGAAAACCATACCGGATAGGGCCTTTGTTCACACATAAGAACGGTGATTTCGGCGCTATTTCTGTTACGAAGCGAGGCTTCTCCGCGCCGATCTCAAAAGTGAAGTGACGTTACATATCAGATAGGTTCTGTGGCACACTTTGGTGCAGCAGTGTGAACAGGGATGTTCGACTTGTTCCCAGCATGCAGTGGTGTGCCATTGCGCGCTGTTCATACTAAACTGGTTCGCTTTTCGTATCGGCACAAAAAGCAATCCGCATGAACATAGCCTTAGTTCACCATACAGCTACTGCTTTGAAATTATATAATCCGAGATAACAATAATAAAAACGTCCGTATTACCGTAGTACTGCTATGAATTATTGTTTAAGGATCAATTCTTAAAGATTTCAAAGTTATTCAGTGATAGTTGCAGTAAGTTACCGGTAGGTGCCTTCTGATTGTTATGCCCGAACATGAGTACAACTCTCATTACCTATAATACAAAATAGCAACAACAACAACAACAACAAATTTATTTATTGTACGCAAAGTAGAATACTATAGTTATTTTACAAGTTTTGAATTAATCAATTAACTGAAAGGGGTACTGACTTCCTGAAATAACTAATAAGTTAAAAATGCCAAGAAGCCAGATTCAGTAAGATAATTGAAATAAGTTTATTGTGCGGAGTACAATATGGCAGCATATCAGACTGTATACACACAAACACACACGCATACACATTTACAGTTATACGATTTTCTGACATATTAACACAGAAATGGCAATTAGACAGACTTACACGACAGAAAAGTAAGTAAAATGTTGAAAATTACGTAGAATGTCGCACGAAGAAAAATCGTGGCCATCTTGTTTCACCACTGCTGACCCAACAGCAACAAAAAAACCCTAACAGTCAAACTAAATCGGACCAAAAAAGGGTCATAAAAATGAAGTAGATAAGATAAAATAAAATAATTTCTCCAAGTTTGTAGAACTTTGAACATCCCCATTTCGCCCCACCCCCCACCCTCGCCTCTACTTCAAGATCAAAGAATAATCAGCCTGTTCCAGGCTACAAGATAGCGCACGGGGAAAGCGGATCGAGAAAAACTGCACGAAAAGTGCGTGGGGGTGAGGAGAGATGAAGTAGTGGAGCCTATAAGCATTGTTTTTAATACCTCATTCCGGTATACTAGCTGCTGGTATACTCTACGATTGGTCAATTGTGACGGCCTCCTACACCGCAACTTTCGACTCTTTGACTTTTTGACACGAAAAACGGTTGTTTAGGAAGTGGGCGGATTAAGTATATGAAAAGATGCCTACAGACTCTCCCCTTCTCTCTTCCCGCCGTTTTCGCCCGTTCGCTATTTTACTGCTCGCTCGCTTGTTTCGCTCGTCCGCACTGACAGAGAGTCTGCTGGCATTGGCCAGGACTAAATATCATCAAGGAATTTTTGGTTATGTTTTTCCAGAACTTCGAAATCCAAGCCTTCTTTTAACGGCACCAAAGGAATAAAACTTATATCCCTACAAAATGTAGATAGGTAGACATTTTATTTGACGAGAAAGTCTCATACTCATAACAGGCCACTTTTGAAAATTAAAAAAAAAAACTTATAATTATTATACTGCCTCCTCCACAGGTTTTCTCAAGGATTAGCGGAAAACCAGGGAATTTTCGATACGAAAGCGAGGTGCTGTAGACGAGCGACGAGGGCTAGTAAGAGATAACACGGACGAGCGCAGAGCGCGAACAGGGAGCCCATCGCATCGCCCTTGTTTTAATATGACTCAAATATTCTCTAAACAAGCGGTCGCGAGTGACTGAGGACGAGGCAGCTTAGCATAAATCTTAGCTTGGGAGACCTCCGTAAATCTGGCCCAAGGAGGGTGGGTTAGGGGCAAGGAAAGTTCCCTGTTCGCTCGAGGTTTAATTAACATCCGGCGACATTATCATCTTCACTACTTTACGAGCCCCACATTAGTTCAGCCAGAACTCCTTGTATTACAAAACCTTACCTTGACACTTTGGTTAAACTCACTGTGGATCAGCATGTTTTCTTTTCAGTTTTTTATCTTTCTGTTTTAAGAGTATTACCCTAACAAAATTAATATACTCTTCGTAGTTTGACTGGTGCATCATAAATAGTAAAACTGTTGTCGTGATACTGGTTGATACTGGATTCCCCATATTCATGATGGTAAATAACCACCCGTCTCGTTGTTTTTTCACAGTTCCTATCGTTGTTGTTAGCATCGAGAAAAGCCTTGACCTTACGGGACCTTACGGGACCTTACGGGAACTAACGGGACCTTACAGGACCATCAGGGTTTTCAATGCGGATATCAGTCAATAATTGTGGCTCAGTCTCTCCAAACGGATAATCTCCGGCTTATAACGTGTTCCAAAACGTCATGTTCATTTTTGGTCTGTGCGCGGTGCTTTTGAATTCGTCAATACTCGGTACCAGCTTAAATTGATAGCAGCCAAAATCTCGGCCAATCAAACGAAGGGATTTTCGTGTTATGTGTTAAAATTATGACAATATTGATTTCCTCTTTACACATCCAATTGGTTTTCGTTAAAATTCTTATAACGTAATTCCAAACTAATCGGTGAGATATACCTCCAGCAACGCAACAACTAAATTTGGCGAATTATTTTATGGGTTTTTCATTCAAGTACAGCGTTTTAAATTTTGAAGCTTTCCTTTAGTGCCTAGCCAAGCAAAAGTCTAACGGTCTCGCTTCAGAAGATGCATCCCTTCACATTTGCCTGGGTATTGTTTGCATTTTACGCGGGTCTCACCTCAGGAAAACCAACTAAACACAAACTTGTTTCAAAAAACGTCGACAAAAGATGGGACCTCCTAGTCAATGATGACCGTAAGTCAATCTGTAATTTAATGTCAGCTCTTTGTCGTAACGTCTTAAACCAAATTTTGAACATTAAAATTAGTAACTGTGATGGCAAGAGGTATCAAAACCTCGGCCAAGCACCTACGCGAGAGTTACTAGTTTTTAGTCCGGTTTCTGACACCTGTTCACCTTTCCTTTGTGTTGTTATCAGTGGGTGGTGTTGTTCTTTATTTATCTTTTAAATGTTAACATTGTTTGATTTGAAATGAAACATAAAATGAATGGCCTAACGGAAATTGAACGACCAATTGTAAAAATTTCAAGAGGGAGCAACAGTTATATGTAATCTTACCCCGGCATGGGTTAATCGTATTCTACGCGTATCAAAGAATCTCAACTCCCTCGCGGTACCTCAAAAGATTAATTGCAGGTTCTTCAAGTTCGTTCTAACTTCCAAACGAAAAAAGGGTGGGGCAATTTGTGCATTACATAGTAAGAACATGGTCTGTCATATCAGACTATATGGAGTCTAGCTATAGGTTATGTTTTGTTTACGTCTAACCATCGATAGTTTCATTTTAAGCGAAGTTGTCATAGTCAGGTGTATTAAGTACAAATCTATTTTAAAGAGAGGTTTATCGCTGGCTACACAAAAACTGTATTGGAATAAACAACGACAATCGCACAAGCATTGTATTATAATTAAACCAGCGTACAAGAAGATGGAGTGGGGAGGGGGTGGGGGGAGTACAAATGCCATGCGTCTTGTGTCGCAGAGCACGAGTCCTCATAGTGCAGCCCAACTAATTGAGCCTGAGGGTCAGAACTGAGCAGATGAAATGTTTAACGAGTTTATATTGTTCTCGGTAGGTTAAATTTTATTGTATTTTTATTCATATTCATTATTATTGTAAATCTCTATACGTAAAAACAGAGAAACATAAATTGAATTGAAACCATGGATGAGATTGCAACCGATAAGAACATATTATGGTCACCTCTATTGGACCGAATCGAAAAATAAAAACTTTAAACACTTGCTTGAATGTTTAACTTAACCGACGGTTTTTGCATGAGGTGCTCAAACCTAAGTCACAGTTAGATTACCTGAAATTTCTCAGTTCTTGATCAGTATTTCTCAGCTATCTGTGATATATCTATAACTTAGCTATCAGCTACAAAACCTTTCATTTGACGACAGTACAAATTTTGACCAGTTCTTTGCTGCCCATCCAGTACTTTACATTCCAGTCTGATAACCAATGAAGCACTTCGAATAATTCGAATTCAGAAGTTAATGAAAGCGGTGTCCAATGATCAAGTCAATGACTCTTAACACCAATAGTAACTAAAGTTATTGTGCAAGACAGTCTCATAGAATCTATGTCTCGGAATTTCGTAGCAAGTACATATACGTAACATGTCAGATCGCTGGGTGTGAAGTGTGTGCAAGCCATGATTGGCCTCTTTAGTATAACTGAGAAAGTGGTCCAAATTGTTTTCAGCAACTTCTATCGTGTGGCAGTTTAGAATTAAAGCGATGCGAAATTCAGGTTATCCCATCTGTCGATTGAAAGTTATCCATACAGAAATTGAAAACTAAAAAGTTGTAAGTCACTTGCACACTACTCTACGTTCAA